TTTACCATCAACAGTTTGATCAAAGTACTTATTTTAAATAGTTTTTCTATTTTTCTGTCGTTCGGTAAAACCATTTCGTCGGGAAAAAAAGTTTCGTTTGTTCAGTGTTGACGAACGCTACTTATTATTTCGGGTAATTCCCGTTCAACACCTTTCGTTCCTGTAGTCAACACTGACGACGATCGGGAATGTTTCGTTAATGCAGGTGTTAACCCGGACAGAGCTAAATAAATCTATAACAAAGTCTCTTAGCAATATTCATACCATTATAAAAAATTTAAATATAGACTGACATTTCTATATAATATCTGAGATAAGGTCTATTTTGCATACAGAATGGTTGTTGTCTACATAGTTTTGACATTTTGAATTCTTTATAATTATTTATTCTGATTTTAAACCAAACAGGCTCATCTCTAGCTTATTATGATATAGATAGATTACATTTTATCTATTGCATCTACAGTATCATGTTTATAATCTTTGTTCTAACAGTTGCCATCTGATCAACAATTATGATAAGAAAACATAATCAATATAGATTTTCTTTTTATCTTTTTATTTCGGCCGTGATTCTGTTCGTGCGAATTTTGCTGTTACATTTTAGTCGTGGTTAACCAATGCCAACACTCGAAACACTAGTGTACTGGTATTTTTGTGACTGAATTCTAGGACACTCCATCTAGCCGAGTAAGCTGTAAAAATATATCCATAACAAAGGAACAAACAGTATTATTGTCCGCTCACCAGCAACCTATTTACCACGTCAATAACGGTAACACTTGAGCCAATTTGAACCTAATTACGTCTCAAAAAAGACTTTCATTGCCTGACTCACATCCGTGATTTGAATCAATTAATCGAATTATAGTAATGTAATCATATTTATTTGAATATAGTACTAAAAAATAGGTGTTCTTTAAAAGCTGTAGGTATGTCTAAACAAAAACTATGGCTTCGGCAAGTTTTTACTGCTCAAGGTCACTCAACTCATTTTGTGTATTAGATATTGTTACTATAAATAATAGTGGTACGAGTTATTAAATATGCTAATTTATTGTCATGATTGAGACGAGTGATCGGAAGATAGAATTACTCACACCAACATTCGCAGCTGCTCATTTTAAGTAGTTAGATTCATCATAAATTATTTACTACTTACACCTGTTTAATATGAGGGTTTTGTTTATTTTTAGAAACGGCTCCGGCATCGGCACCTCCTTCCGCTGCTCCGGTTGCTACCGGCACAGATGCGAACGCTGCACCGAAACCAGAGCATTCTGTAGCTTCGGCGAATGGGACCGCGCCTAAGCCGGCCGCAACAGTGCCGGCACAGAATACTCCGGCTACTAACAGTACACAACCCGCTCCAGCGTCAAATGACACGTCTTCAAAGACCACTACCAATGACACTAAAACGTCTGAGAAGTCTAATACGACAGACGCTAAACCCAATACGGACCCCACATTGAAGCCCACTGAGAAGGTACCAGAACCAGCAAAAGACAAAACAGAAAACAAGACAGTAGTCCCTGCTGCTCCCACCAACAACGGTACTAACGCAGACAGCAAGGATGGAAAGAAGAATGAAACTACGACTACACCAAAGGCTGACAATGTTAGCCCCACTGTTGCACCCACAGTCCAGACTAAGACTAGAGCGTAAGTTTTTTTTTTTTTTTTAGAAAGTAGGTTAATGAAGTATCTATACATATTCAAAACTGCGGTTAAGTTCGGCGAAAAAAGTAAATGTAGGTAATACTATGGACCTGATATAAAACCTTTTCATCCAGTAGTTTAGTTAGCTAGTTTTATTCACGGTATACCGCGGAAACCTTATTACTGAATCTTTTATTAGCTCTGCGTATTGGATGGCCGAACCTAGCAGTTTCATAATCGTTAATTACGCAGCATAGAGTGTTTATTAGCGTGGCAAGGGAATAGCGCGCAGTAGTTGCGAATATTTTATTGAAGCAAATTTTAGATTATTATTAAATTAATGTATAGAATTGCAATCAGTTGTTGATCTAATAGGAAAATACTAGAATTAGATAGAAAACAGGAAAATCAGACACTGTTGCGTTTAACTGATCCGTGGCCATTACTAATTCATACAGGTATCGATTATTGCACGCTACCAACCAACTACGTAGGACATTGACGTATTTGAGCTATCTTTAGAGTATAAAAGTGCGGCTATACGTTAGAGAGAGTATTCAATGTCTTCGCTCTGTGTAGTATTTGAATTAGTTATCCGATATGTATGTCCTATGACGAATGTTCTGTTGTGTAAACAACATTACAGTTAAGAGCATTATTCTTTGCTTTTGCAGTATTTATATATTTCTATATGCACTTTTTGGCGTATTATTGAATTTAAATGAGTGATAAATGAGTTGGATGTACAGGTAAACACGTAGAGAATAAATCAGTTCCGTGGTAATTGCAATGAACACGTTTTGTGATGATAACAGTTTTTGCACGGATGTGACGCACGTTTTTGCAAGCGTATTACTTTTTGTTGTAAAATGTTCTCGTTTGTTTTTAATGTTTTGTTCTCAATTCACGCGTCATTCCGTTAAAATGAGCTTAACGTACTTACTTTTTATTTCGGGTCAGCCACTCATGTTACGCTGATATAAAATTAAGTTATTTAAGTACCGATATTACAGGAAATTAGTGATAAAATAAGCTAAGGTTATCGTAATACAACGCTTGTAATAGGAAAACACAACTCGTTATCTACCAGTTGCACAAAGATGACAATGAGACTACTCAGAGTATGGTTACGTCATCGCAACTAGAATACCGTACTCTCTACAGTTAACAGTTACATTTCTGTGTTAAAAATAAATACAAACACTTTTGCCACTTATTGGAAGGGAATTTTTGGCGAAAAACATTGATGACACATTGGCACAGACTGTTATTTCCACATCTGTTTCAGTAACTCCGATAAAAAATACACATGTTTACCGCAACGTGAAACATATAAACATTCTTAGAAGTGTGAATTGTTTTCGTACATGTTTTAATTTAAACTTGTGTATTTTTCAGATTCGACGGGCCCAGCTTCATTGGAGGCATCATTTTGACTCTTGGACTCCTAGCCATCGGCTTCATGGGCTTCAAGTACTACAAGAACCAAACCGAAAGAAACTACCATACTCTCTAAATACTTTTAAGTTCTCACTCTATTGTAAGTGCACCAAACTATGTATAAGATTTATAATTTTATAAATTGAATATTATTTTTCTCAAACTTTTCATCTTTCGAGTGCACATTAGTAAAATACAGGTATACTTATTATACATTTCCTTGTAAATTTTGTTTATTATCTCAATATTTTGACGTAACTTACCTTTTCCGAATTTATAAATTAGGGTGATGTCTTACGGGCGTCCGTCTAGCCACTAAATCTACGCTGAACGAACGGTAGGGTATAATATACCTAGGTGGTTGGTCGTTAGGTATAATTTACGATTCGAATTATAAATTTGTTCTTATTAAATAGTGTAAGGTTTGTAACTTCTAGTAGATTGTTTGGCATTTATTTTTCTATGTTGCATGCTTCATTTTAAGTAAGCAAGTATGTATCTATAATTTTAATCCGCCAGGTTATGTTATGATTATGACATTCGTATATTATATGAAAATATGTGATTTGTACATTTGGAATATATAAATGTTTATATACTGAATTTTAAATGATTATAAAAATATATGAAACCCGAAATGAGCCACTAATATTATCGTACTATTTCATCTTAGAGTGCAATTTAGTTGTAGTATTGATGTCCTTTTTCTTGTAACTGTGCCATGTTTCGGATTTCGATGTGGAACACTGCATTTGGTAAAAATTATACAGCTTCGTACACACTATATTTCAAAGATGTAGCTATTAAGTATATTTATTAATGTTAAGTGTTATTGTAAGGAAACGCAATGTGATGATGAAAATAAGGGTCTACAGTAGTACCTATCTTGGTTTGGCATAATTAAGTTTACTGAATCTCTGTTGTACTCGACTAATTCAATTATCTCGTTCTCGTTACTAAACTCGTTAGAGAATCTCAAAATTCAACTAATTACTAACTATAGAAACTTTTTTGTGCCAAACCATACCAAATTCTGTATATTTTGTTTTTTATTTGTGATTTTAACACGCTATTTGTAAACTGGGGAAAGTTGATTCCATCCTAAAGTGCTCTTAAATCTGAACTATTTATGGATAGTTATTCGAAAGGTTTACACGCCACTATGAAAATTCTGTCTATCTTACTGCTACATTCATGTCTGTCAATGGTTATGTTGAATAAATAAAGGTATACATACATACGAATTTTATTCATTCTAATACATTTAAATTATTGAGTACGAAACTGACTAATCATGTGCCTACAAATTCTGTGAGATCTAAACACATTGTTTACGTTTTAAAGTGAATATTCCGACCAGTCGTCCGTACATTTTTAACCTTTGGCTTCTACACAGACATGCCTCCCAATCCCAATTCATATATGTACCTACATAATAATTGATATTAGGTATTGTCCTAGACTTCTCCATTTTTGACCAGTCATGTTATAGTACTGAGTTCCGTACATTTAATATTTACACCAATAATAACAAGAATGCATTGAAATATAGTTTTATTTTAATACTTAATATCACAATTCAAGACATTTTTATTGTATTGTAAATAAATAGCTATTGCTGCATTACAAAGGATTGGGATCTACAAAGAATTAAGATTTTATTGCTTTTAGCATTTAGTTCTATAATACGTAACAATTTGCAAACATAAAGCTTACTAAGAAATCTTTTCATATGGCAAATAAATAAAAAAAATGTAACTGTCATTATCGTATCGTCATCAATTTTAATAAACTTATTTGTGACTTAGATCATGATTTTAACTCGTCGAGTACCGGTTTTATAGACACAATTAAAGAACAATAGGTCGCGGTCACCGGTGACCGCTTGGTGTTTGACAGTTTAATTATAAAGACTACTTAAAAACTAAAAGTAGGTACTTTTACAATAACAAAAAGATTCAGTACATGATTGCACGGTTGACGCGGTGGCTGGGAAACTGGATGCCGCGCAACGTATCATGGGTTCGATTCCCGCACGAAACAACTCTGTGTGATCCACAGGCTTGTTGTTTCAGGTCTGGGTGTCATGTGTATTTGAACTTGTATGTGCACAGGAGAAAATCGTAGTGTGGGCCGACGTTTCATAAAAAAGAAAAAACAAAAGAAAGTTCACACAATCGCATTTTACGATTTATGTAGGTACTTATTTATATAAAGATCTTAATTTTTCAAAATACAATAAAATAATATGTGTAGGTAATTCTGTACAACTCTATATAAAATCGAATATGCACGTCGATCGAACATTCCCCTGAACGAATTTTCATAGCAACATTTTACCGAACACCTGTCTGTACATTATTTAGCAAATTGATTTATATAAACCTTTGTTGAGACTTCCAGCGCTGCATAGCATAAATACAAAACACGTAGAAAAAATATAAACTGACAAACGTTTTCCGATTACTTCATTTCACCTTTTTCAGTAGGTATTTCAATAGTCTAGTTAATTTTTTTTAAGGGGGGAACGTCATCGAATGACTGCTCCCGCCTGGGTGAGGCGGGAGGGAGTATCAGACTCTTACTGACTAAAAACCACCCCGTTCCTTCTCCTGCGTCGAGCCGGAGCCCCGGTTACCCGTTAGGTTCTCCGCGACCTAGTTCAAGTTAAAGGCACTTCAATATCAAGCCCCAGATTTCAATTCGCATCAGTCCATGTACACAAACAAAACACTATCTATTTTGGATTTAAACTTGAAAATAAATGATAAACGGATTTACTTAAAGCAGGTCCGATATTGCGGGTTTGATCGCCATATTTTAAACTGGCCAGAAGTATCTCTCCTTCCTGTTGATCACATTTATAGTAAGCAACAATTAACGAATGTGGTGTAGGATATCTATTTGTTATCGCCAAAGCTTTTTCTACCGAAACTCCTTTTAATTGCAGAAGTAATTTGATGAAAGTGTCCTTGACTGTAAGTGGTTTGGTCTTAGCTGATGATTTGTTAAAGTATTCAAATGTCATCAGTTTTACAGCTTGAGGAACTATAAATTTCATATCATCAGAATCATCGTATTCTTCGCCGCCATTTCGTAGTGTCATTTTCTGAAATGGATAATATAAAATATTAGGTATTGACAGTTCTTATAAAAATTGAAAAAGAGGTATGTAGGAATCGTAGTAATTGGCGTTCCGAAGTCTCTGCCTTCCCCCATGGGATACAGGCGTGAAGTTCTGTATGTATGTATGTAAAAATCTATCTATATAAATAAAAATGACTTTCCGTTCGTTATTCTCGCTAATACTCGAGAATGACTGAATTGATTTCTGTAGGCGCGACGAAGTTTGCCGGATCAGCTAGTTAAAAATAATAATGTCTTGTTTGAGTTGTTGCAAGACTAGCAATTGCGACCACCGAGTGAAGGGTCTTGAATTCGATTCCTGAGGCGGGATATTCTGGGTTTCTTGGTTATTTTTGGTTTACAAAATAACTCAAAACATAACTGGATTAACTGGTGAAAAGTATGTTTAAATGTTACATATTAGCTTCCGGGATTAAAAGGCGTGATGCCACATTAAAATAATAAATTTATGAAATAGTTACCCCATATCGTATTGTCAATCTTTTGGTCATCATAGCCAGAAAACGGACTGATTGATTAAGAGAATTAGTAGATCGAACTTTAAAACCGTCCTGGACTCTTGTATTAGTCAAGGCTTGTAATAGACTTGGTAAAGGCAACCCCAACCCTTTATTTTTATCATACTTTTCTACTAAATAAATAACATTTTTAAGTCCGCATCTACGGAGTCTGAATTTTTGTTCATGGAATCTCCCATCTTTAATACTGGCAGCGAGATCATCCATTCTCTTTCTCTCTACTACATAAGGCAAAACCAGTTCTTGTTCAGGGTGTTTCTTATGTTTGGCTATCCAAGTAAAGTCTCCAACTTTCAAACTTCTATAATCATGTTTCAAGTCTGGATACTTATTGAACTCCATTATTGTTGGATCATTTCTTTTCTTAAGTCTGTAAAAGTAATATATTATTAGTAGTTTATTATAGTTTATTCATTTATGTTAATGATAATAAGTTACTTTGAAAGCCATTTTGAATGTACTTCTTACTTAGATTCTTTTTAGAAAATACTCACCCTCCAGTTTCATTTTTATCAATAAGTAATATTATATCAAAGTCACCAGGTTTCATTTCTATAAAACTCTGTTGTTGTGATGTGGACGAACCTTGTTTAGGAGCAGTATTGGAGATTGAGTTACTTGTATGACTGGTACTACTACTTGTTGAAGGTATATCATTAAAAATCATATCATTGACAGTGGGAATATTTGTACTGGCTTCTAATAACTCAGTAGCTAATTTTTCACCTTCGGAAGTCAATGAGTATTCAGCATTCTTTTTCCTAGTTTTAGTAACCAAACCTTTTGTTAAAAGTCTGCTCATGTTAGACCAGGCTGTATACATTGACCCAGCCTTAGGTCTTACAAATGACTCCTCACAGTGAATTTGAGCTTTCTCAATCAAATGTTCTTTAGTCATTGAACAATTTGGGTTTAGTTTACTCTGTTCAAGTAATGTGACTAAAATAGCATAACCTCCTGACCTATGAGCAGGTTTGTATGTACCGGGTTTACCTTTCTTCTTTTTATTACCACTGGATAAAGGACCAGAATCACTTGATACATTTTCTTGAACATTCTCTGATTTCTCACTGTCTGGATTTGACGTCCGTGATGATGGATTTATCTCTAGTGGTTCAGAAAAGCCAAGACTTGGGAAACTTTCTGAGAGAGGACTATTGCTGATACTTCTGGTAACATGCTGACTAGATGGGATTGGAGATATTGTTGTAGACCTGGTAGAGTGGCTTGGTTCTCCACGACCTCTGTTCTCACAATAATCAGACAAGGCATTCTCATTAAAAGAAGTTAAACATTTGTCAAGATATAAGCATAATTTTTTGTTAAATCCTTTGAGTATTATACACTCAGATGCAGTCTTCAGTGGTAACGGATATTTTGCCAGAGATTCTGCTGCCTCTTTGAGCATTGGTTCAAAGTGGCTTTTCTTTGCTTTCGCTTCAGCACACAAATGTAATAACCAGTCTTCAAAACGAGCATTAGGTCTTACCCTTTTACAAGATACTTTTTTATTCATCGCTATAGCGTTGAGTGGCATATTGAAACTATAATAAATAACTATTTACCAATAATCAGAACTCCAAATAATGATTATGAGTTTAGAAAATTCTTGTTTTCATTTAAAATTCATAATATTTACAAGATAGATAATAGGCCGAGACCCAATGAATGAGCGATAGGAACGATATGAATGATTTATGTATGAACATGACATTGACAATATTTGACATGACATTTGCGTGATGTGACAACATCTTTGAAACTGAATCCTGCGATGTTTTAGCGTAGGCTACTAGGCTAGGGCTAGACGGCGTAGACGTAGGTATACGCGTATGACTATATAGCCAGTACAGGTACTATAGTAGTCTTTGCGTATGACATTTGGGACGAAAGGTTTTTGGGTAAATGATAGCTAATGACCCCCCCAAATTCCAAAACAAATTGTGTCGGTCCATGCGCTAAACTACCTGTATAGTGGCTGAGCCGCAGCGCAGAGAACATACACGACCAAAGACGTTTGTAAAGGAAAAAAGAAGGATGCTGATGTTAATTTTTTTTCAATGCCCTTGGGTACAATATTTTTCTTCATAGGTATACACCACCGTTCATAAGTTATATACGGAAAATGAGCAGGCGGATCTCCTGATGGCCTGTAAGCAATGGGTGCCGCCCATGGACACCGGAAACACCAGACGTGTTACACTTGTAACACCGCGTTACCAGCCTTTTGGGGGTTAGCAATTTGAGGTTCGGGGATTAGGGAGGGGGACAATTTTTTTAAACGTTTTCCACACTGGTATTTTTTTCCTTGTTGTGGGTTCGTTTACAGACATACAAGTTCACATACACATCAAATCCGGACCTGAACTATCAATCTATGGTTCACACAAAGAATTGTTCCGTGCGGGAATCGAACCTGCGATACGTTACACGGCAGCTGCCCAGCCACCGCGCCAGTCATTTGGGCCTCCGGCAACCTCACACAAACGACGAAACACAACGTATTGTTATTGGCATACACCTATTATTGTCATTATCTAAGTTAAAACAAAAACAATAGGTAATAAAAGAATTTGACACTAAATGGCGCAGAAACTAACTTTTTTAGAGAAAGAACTGACTTTGCTGTTATCTCTTTTCAATACATCCCTATTGTTCCTTATAATTATGGTCTTTTGAGTATACATTTCTATTGTTCACTTTTTACTAGAATTGACCTACATTTTTCACACGGATTATGTAAAAATACCACATTCCAAAAATTATATTTATTTATTTACTTATTTATTTTACTAGCTGATGCCCGCGACTTCGTCCGCGTAGAATAATGACTTCTGGCAGAATTTATGCTTTTGAATTAGTCTTTATCAAGTGATATTCTACGGTAACAAATGTCGTCAGAATTGATTATAGGGCTCCTCTCCTGTAGATGATTGCGTGATAATATGTAGCCTATATATTGTTCTATAGATATAGATAGATAGATTAACTTGAATTCGTATTTTTTCTTTTAAAATTGTATTATAATCGAAATTTTTTAGAGTAAAGCTAGATAATAGCATGGCTTACTCAAAAATAACATTTAAATATGCTTCATTACATAACACGCTGTCGCAGAATGCGTAGGTAAGAGAAATAACGATTCACAGCTGCTCCCCCGTAGATGATAGCATGATAATTTATAGCCTATAATGTTGACCCGATCTGTTAGTAATATTCATGCAATGCAATTTGAAGTAAATCCATGCAGTACTTTTTGAGATCATCCCGGACATACTTACAGACATACAAACAAAAATTCCAAAAACCATATTTTTGGCTTCGGTATCGATTGCAGCAGATAATTATAATTATAATCTTGTACTATTACATAAAGCGGAAGAGTTTGTTTTTTTTGTTTGTTTGTTTGAACGCGCTAATCTCCGTAACTACAAGTCTCATTTCAATCATTCTTTTTGTGTTGAATAGGGCATTTATCGAGGATGGCTATAGGCTATAAAACATCACGCTACGACTAATAGGAGCTGAGCAGAGCGTGTGAAACCGCGCGAAGTTAGCTAGTGTATAGATATACATAGAAGAATAGATTTTTCGCCATGGTCGTCCCTCTGCAGGGCTGAGGCCGTATAATTCGTATAAAAAAATATAATATTTAAAACTAATATGATTCTTTACTACCTTATCAAATTGTCAACAAGTAGGTAATAGCTGTAATAGGAAGGAAATCGGAATTACTTATGACTGACAACAGCGATGTTTCACCCGCTTTGCTCGGCTCCTATTGATCGTAGTGAGATATTTTATAACCTATAGCTCTCTTCAATAAATGAACTATCAATCATACAAATAACTATTTAATTCGGACTCGTAGTTACAGAGATTAGCGCTTTCAATCAAACAAACAAACTGTTCAGCTTTATATCATTACATAGTATAAAACAAAGTTGCTATCCGCCGTCTGTCTGTCCCTATGTATGTTTATATCTTTAAAACTACGCAACAGATTTTGATGCAGTTTTTTTTAATAGATAAGAGTGATTGTTAAGGCAGGTTTTTTATGTATAATACATGCATATTGCACCCGTGCGAAGCCAGGGTGGGCCGCTAGTAATAGTATAAGTATATTATTATAAGATTAATATGTAGGTATGTATTAGGTCATATTTTAATAGATTGCTAATTGAAAAAAGTTAAAAGAAACATATTTAAGCGAATGGCGAATACATACTTATGTCTCTTATGGTCTTTATTTTACTGTTTTTAACAAACTGTGAAGGAATCTTGCATGTGTTAATTTTTAGGGAAGTAAGCGTTTCTTTTCATAAAGTATGAAATATAATTTGTGTGATATACATACCATGTAATAATAAAATTTTACGATTCCATGTGATATACTTACTTATTAAAGAGCAGTATGAAGATATACGCGCAGACAACAGTGTTCTCGATATGTAACACTAGCTGTATCCGTGACTTCGTCTGTGTGAATTAGTTATGCAAAGTTCCTCTCCCATAGGTGATGGCGTGATAGTATGTAGGTAGCCTATAAGTTGACCCGACCTGATAGTACCTAATATTTATAAAAAATTTGAAGTAAATTGAGTTTAGCTTGGACATACATACAAACTAACAAATTCTAAAAAACATATTTTTGGCTTCGATGTCAGGTGCAGATCACGCCCCAAGCATGTTTTAAATAAAATATTCGATGTAAATACAGTTTTCAATTTCCTACGAAAACTTATTGCTAAGATTGTGGTTTATGAAAAAACCTCTGCTTCAATTTAAATTTGCAACTTTATTTGTAGTATTTATTATTAGTATTACCTTCCTTCCTAACCAAGAGAATATAATACAATTGGGTATTTTCCTGGGTCAAAAATAAATTATTTTGATTTTTCAATTCAATTAAATATTCAAAAATAATTACAATTTCATTCATATATTTGACGATACACTTAATGTTTGATTTATTCTAGCATTTTTTTCAGAAATAAGTGTGCTATTTGACTCGAAAATATGATGACGTCATAAGTCAGTTTTTGGTACAAAGTTCATAGTACAATATCGTTTTTGACGTTTCGATAAAAGCATTGAATTTGATTAGTTGTAAAATACCGTATTCCTATTCAATACTAAAATTAGTAAGTAAAATAAAAATAATAATAATATGTAATCGCGACACAATAGAGTAAAGAGTGGGGGTAAGCGCTACGCTAACGCACCTCACTACTCAACCGTTTTGTCATTCGATTCGATCCGTCATTCGCATTCGCTCGCTCGGCCGTAGCGTTAGTCTGTCAGCGTCGCGTATTTTGTGAAATTTTATAAAATATAGATTTTATATTTGGTGATGTAGTAGTGTAGTGTGTGAAATAAACAGCAAAAATGTCGCTTGAAATCCCGTTAATGAGCACGGACGAGGTGATTGTTTAGTGTTAATGTGAAATGTTAATTTTAGTGTAGCTAGTGTCAGTGTCGTAATACATTATTTTTGTTTATTTAGGTGATTGAGTTAGATCCGGAGCAATTACCTTCTGGAGATGAAGTGCTTAGTATACTGCAACAGGAGAGATCGCAGCTCAACGTCTGGATCAATGTTGGAGTAAGTAAACTAACCTCAAAATTTGTTTACGCTAGACACGTAGCGCTTCCAAGCGCGTAAATTAGCAATAATTTTGTTAGAACATTGATTTTTAAGAATTCATATGAAAGGACAATATGTTTTCTGCTATGCGTGCTTTAGGAAAGCGTATTCTTGTCTATTTTCATGGAAAATCTACTGATAGTATCTTATGTCAATCATAGTTTTTTAATGAGTCAAATATGAATATATATTTGTGGTTTTTCTAGTCCAAAATCTTAAATTATACTTGTTTTTGTGCATTGTTCTTAAAATACCACTTGTATCTAACTGCTATTAGATATTGTGTCCACAAGAACCTTTCTATCATTACTGTTTCATCTAAATATGCTTGTCAATTCCCAGTACATTTGCATAATACCTTAGTAAAACCTATACAAGTTTTATACTCTGAATCTAAAATCTATACATGTTAAAGTTCAATGTTCTACAAATTATATTTTCTGGTGTATTACATAAACTCAATCTGCAGTTGTTTGTGTCCAGAATCAAGATCCAACAGGTTGTTGAAACATGACTATAACACAAAATCTAATGACATGTTCTATTTCTCATCACATGTTGTATACAATTTCAGAATTAAAACTAAACTATGCAATGCCTCCATCTAAATTAACTGAAAAAAAGTGCTCAGTGTCTGTTCCAGACCAAGTAGGTTTTAATTATCAAATATCTATTTACAATCATATTATATCAGTTATATTTAGTGTAAATTGTAATTTAGGAAATCTCCTATTTGAATTAATGTTATTTAAAGAGTACAAAATCAGACACAAAATTATTTCTATCACAACTGGGATCAGAAAATTATGTATTCTTCTCTTTATCTTCAAGATTTATAATTGTTCTTATAGCATTCTGTTATAGCTATTTAAATAGGGTTTATCTCTTCTGATAATTAGTCTAATCTCAATAAAATGTACTGGGAATTCAATTAGTATTTATTGTATGCCAATAAATACCATGTTTTATAAATAGACATGTTTTATACTTTAAAAGTACAGTGAAAAATAACACATGCTAGATTACTTCTATTACAGTTTGATAAAAACTTTAAAAAAATAAGTTAAAAGAAAGAAATACGAAAGTTATGACAGCTAAAGTATATAAATGTCTTTACCTAGTCTTTTTATTTTAAAAATATCTTTATTACAGTCTTTAATGACCTAATAGAATGTTATTATAATACTCAGTACATAATAAGTCTAAAACAATTTTATAAATACTGATACAATTTTGATTCTTATTGCTTAACAACTTACTTTTACCTGTTGACAATTTAAAAGGGTCATAATGTTACTATTATTCTAGTTGTATACATGTGGTATTTTTTACAATTTCTGTGTGTAATAATGTAGGTAAAATGTGAACAATAGAAATGTACTCAAAAAAGATAATTAGGGAACAATGGGGATCTATTTTTAAAAGAGATAATGGTTTTAAGTCTGGTATTTTTTCTGAGAAAATGTACATTTTGTGTGAACTAATTTTACTATTGTTTAGGCTTATCTTAAACAATGACATTAGTGGGTTAAAAATCTTCCTATTCAATATCAGGAGACAATAAGTGAATAATAGAAATCTATTCTTTCTGGATTTCTATCTATTTATTCTATTGATAGTGCCTGCATGTAATTTGTGTGGGATATTTTTAGTAATATACAAAAATATTTTTACATTGGTATTTATGTAATGTAGTTACTTAGTAGGGTATGCAAATGTCACGAGATTGTTACTCATGTAAGATCTCGCGGGATTATAAAATACAACCTCGCTAAATCTCACCAATTTCGAGTAAATACAGTATTGTATGTTTCTTTGCCAATATAATATCGCCATAAAATGGGAAAAATAATAAGATCATAAGATAAACATTTATTTTTTCAATTTTTTTCTCAAAAACATGTAACAAAAGAATTCTGCCTAAAGTTATGCAGACGGAAATGGGAAGCAGAAGATTGAAATTTAGCATTTTACTATTCCTAGTTTGGCATACATAATTATCATATAACAATTGAAAGAAACAACTAGTCCTCTATTTTAATAAAAAACAAAAATCCTTTGTAAAAAAAATATCTAGGTTTTACTACTTAAGTTTATATGTTTGCTTCAAGATGTGTTTTATTAACAAAAACTACCATTTCCTTTCAGCTTGCATATTACAAACAAAAGAAGATCGATGATTTCCTCAAAATATTGGAGGCCTCCCGTACAGAGGCCAACATCGAGTACAGGGACTTTGAAAGAGACCAAATGCGAGCCCTCGACATGTTGGCCGCATATTATGTACAGGAGGCCAATAAAGAAAAGTTGAAGGACAAGAAAAAAGAGTTGTTTACAAAAGCAACTCTTCTATACACAATGGCAGATAAAATTATCATGTATGATCAAGTAAGTTGTTGTACATTATTACAAATTTATTTAATTTTGTATATTTTATTATCAAATTTAGTAAATAAGGCCATTTTGCTAATAAAATAATTCCCTTTCAGAACCATCTCCTTGGACGAGCATATTTCTGTCTCCTCGAAGGTGATAAAATGGAACAAGCAGATGCCCAGTTCAACTTTGTGCTAAACCAATCTCCTAACAATGTGCCCTCGTTACTCGGTAAAGCATGCATTGCATTCAACCGCAAAGATTACAGGGGAGCATTGGCTTTTTACAAGAAAGCTCTAAGAACTAATCCGGACAGTCCAGCTGCCTTGAGATTGGGAATGGGCCATTGTTTTATGAAGCTGAATAATCAGGAGAAGGCGAGGTAAGATCTTTTTTTCTACAAACACATTTCCTTTCATTTGATAACTTGTAAAATGCTTCAGAGAGTTTTATCGTGAAGCATTGTGAAAGTCAGCTGCAGCACCGCTAGTGGGTTGAGCAGTGGCATCCAAACATCTTTTATGTTTAACTTTCTACAGCATTTTAGTTATGTTATCGGCTGAAAGGAAATTGGTCATGAGAATCTGGTACTGGATTTTGGACCATTGTCTCATGTTTTCCATTGTATAATCGTCATTTTCTTATTCATTTTCATTTTTTCTTCTAGGATGGCCTTCGAAAGAGCATTACAGTTAGACCCACAATGTGTCGGCGCCCTTGTAGGTTTATCTATACTCAAACTGAACTTACAAGAGAATGAATCAAACAAAATGGCTGTGATTATGTTGTCAAAAGCTTATGCTATCGATCCCAAGAACCCTATGGTGTTGAACCATTTGGCCAATCATTTCTTTTTCAAAAAGGTAAGTGGTATATTCTGATAGATTTTTCTCAATATAATATTTTGGTATTTTTGTTGAACATAGTTAACAAAATCTGTTCTTTTTCGTAGGACTACAGCAAGGTACAGCATCTTGCCTTACACGCGTTCCACAACACGGAAAACGAAGCTATGCGGGCAGAAAGTTGTCATCACCTCGCTAGAGCTTTTCATGCTCAAGGCGATTGTGACCAAGCTTTCCAGTATTACTACCAGGCAACTCAGTATGCCCCACCCAACTTTGTCCTACCACATTATGGGCTGGGACAAATGTATATCTACAGAGGGGACACAGAGAACGTAAGTTTGGACTTCAATACAATAATCGCTTCGCTTTTTTAATAATATTTACGACTTAATAACATTAACTTTAACTTTTCGAGGACGTCCCACTATTTTCGAGCTACAACGGGGCTCATAATACTTGCTTAATAAGAATCTTGTCTTACTTGGATTTTCTTGAGTTAATACTAAATTCGTGTATTATTTTCCATACAGGCAGCGCAATGTTTCGAGAAAGTATTAAAAGTCCAACCAGGAAACTACGAAACAATGAAGATTTTAGGATCTCTCTATGCCAATTCTCCTTCACAATCAAAAAGAGATATTGCTCGCCAACATTTGAAGAAAGTCACAGAACAGTTCCCAGACGATGTGGAAGCTTGGATAGAGTTGGCACAAATATTGGAGCAAAATGATTTACAGGTAAAGTTTACAAAGTTTCATAGTTTTGGAGTTTGGTAACCAACATTGGTGATTCTTTTTCTAACACATGTCTATCACTTGTAGGGTTCTCTCAACGCATATAGCACAGCAATGAAGATTTTAAAAGAAAAAGTGAATGCAGATATTCCTGCTGAAATATTGAACAATGTGGCAGCCCTACATTACAGACTTGGGAACTTGAATGAAGCCAAGAATTATTTGGAAGAAGCTCTTGAAAGGTAAAATTTATCTTTCGATTTTTTTCATAAATTCATGTCTTTTTTATAATGGCGCATTTACCACGTAACACTCAAATTTTACCAGTTATGAATATCTCTTACTAGAAAATGAGTCTAATGCATTATATCAAATAAAATCTAACAAAAATAAGCCGGGCAAGGGTTTTAAAAAAAATCTTAGTGGTAGCACGGAAGTCTGGAATTGTGCCCGGTAAATGGCAATAGGCTCACCCCCTGTTACATGGGACTCATAACATAAAAAATGAAAAGTGTTACTATGTACCACTGTAAATGCCACTGCATTAAGTGCCGTAATGTACATCTCTGCCTACCCCTTCTATTTGTTATTATGCCATCTAACATTAAAATATTATTCTAGGGAAAAAGCCGACGCAGAAACACTAGATGCTCAATACTACAATTCAATAGCGGTAACAACTAGTTACAATCTGGCCCGGTTGAATGAAGCACTGTGCATGTATAATAAGGCTGAGAAACTATACAAGGACATTTTGAAGGAACATCCCAACTACATTGATTGTTATTTGAGGTAAGTTTGATATCTTGTGCTTTCATAATATATAAAATTGCATTATACTTAACGAGGAAAGTCATGGCGTATGTGCGCAATACACGTGTATTATACAATATTAACGAATAGTTTATTGATTCAACATCCAGTTATGTTTTATATCATTTTATTTGATAACCTTACCTACTTATTATTACTTACCTATAAGCAACTTATTTCTTGATAACTTTTTATTTAAAAAAAATTTGCTCCGCACTAAAATTTTCACTTGTATTGTGGTTACAAATATTTAAATTTGGAAACTCAAACCCAAATCTGGAAAAACAACAGTGAATTACAGAGTTCTTCCCTGTAGGAATGAGTGAGACATTGCACAACAGCCAGTCGGCCAGCTATACTGCACTAAATGTGTAAACAACATTTTTAAAACAAACTTTCTTCTCCATACAGGTTAGGTTGCATGGCCCGCGACAAAGGACAGATCTACGAAGCTTCAGATTGGTTCAAAGAGGCTCTGAAAGTGAACACAGAACATCCAGACACTTGGTCGTTGCTGGGCAACCTGCATTTGGCTCAGCAAGAGTGGGGACCGGGTCAAAAGAAGTTTGAGAGGATTCTACAGAATTCTAGCACTTCCAATGATGCTTATTCACTGATAGCTCTCGGTAAGTTGGTTTTCGACGCTATTTTTGTAAATGTCATTTTGGGCCTTATTTCTTGGGGCATAGGGTTGTTGATGGTCAATAGTATGATTTGGGGCTTTCAATTTGGAATAGTAGGTTTCAGAGATTTGACTTATTTTGTATTTTTTGTTTTAATTACATACATACCACACACGGGACGAAAAGAATAATAAGTAAATTGATTGTTGTGACTAAAAATTATTCTGCTTTCAGGAAACGTATGGCTCCAAACTCTACATCAGCCTTGTCGTGAGAAAGACAGGGAGAAGCGACATCAAGAACGTGCTCTAACTATGTACAAACAAGTACTGAAGAGTGACCCTAAGAACATATGGGCTGCTAACGGAATTGGATGCGTACTTGCTCATAAGGTAAGTTATTGTCTACTTTTTGTTAAAATAGTAGACCTATCATTATAACATAACATCACGCCTTTTCATCCCCAAAGGGGTAGGCAGAGGTGCACATTATGCCACTGTACAATGTAACACCCTCTTTTTACAATTTGTTGATGAGTCCCATATAATAGGGGGTGACCCTATTGCCATATACCGGGCATATTTCCAGACTCCGTGCTATTAAGAACTTTTTTTTAACCCACTAATACTTTGCCCAAGCGGGAATCATACCCAAGACCTTTTGCCAGGCAGTAGCATTTGGGACCTCTTGGCCAACGAAGCAGGCCAATAGTAGACCGTTCTTGTTAAATTAGGTTGATTATTGCACCAGATACTCTCGACTAGTTTGCAAACACAGTTCGACTCTGATAAGCTGTACCGTGGTCTATCACCTTCCTCGCGGACCAAATGGACTATCCAACACAAAATGAATTGTCGCGGAGAACCTAACAGGTAACCGGGGCTCCGGCTCGACGTGCAGGAGAAGGAACGGGGTGGTTTTTAGTCAGTAAGAGTCTGACACTCCCTTCCGCCTCACCCAGGCGGGAGCAGTCATTCGATGATTTTCCCCCCTTAAAAAAAACAAAATGAATTATTCAATTCGAGTCAGCAGTTCCTAAGATTAGCAGCAAATATTTAATGATGATTGTAAAATGTTTAAGATACTTATTCTATTTTTATTTTGTAACAGGGTTGTATAAACGAAGCTCGCGATATATTCGCTCAAGTGCGCGAAGCGACCGCCGACTTCCCCGATGTTTGGATGAATATCGCTCACATTTATGTTGAACAGAAACAGTATATCAATGCTATACAGATGGTAAGTGGTTATTGAAAATTACCTTATTTGTATTGTAACTTTCGTGAGACATACTAAATAAATTATTATGTTTTCGGCTTACTCAGGTACTAATTTGACGAGGAACTCGACTAGTTTCAAGCCATACTAGAGGCTCATATTCATGAGTAGCATTTCGCGACCCGCGACGCGGCGACTGTCCCGCTACGCTGAGTAGCATGGCTTGAAACTAGTCAAGTTCCTCGTCAAATTAGTACGTGAGTAACCCGAAATCATAATAATTTATGAAAATTACCTTATTGTCATTATTGTCATTAGGTACTGTGTTTTTGTCCATTGTTGGACATAGATCTCTTCAACAGAATAATGGGTTCTGTTTCTTTTACTCTTTGTAGCAAGTATTGAATTAATATTGATTATTTTTTTATATCTTTAACCCGCTACAACTACAGCCCGTTTCAAAGACCTATCTATCTTTACCTTTTTTAATGCAGGTTCAGTTTTAACATATTTAAGCTTCATACAAAATGTTATTATTAAATTGTATTTCTAGTAACTAAATCAAGTAATAGATAGGTTATTGAAACTAGTTGCTAGTAGTTAAAGGGCAGTGGTTATACGTCGATTGTGTATTACTAATAAATATTTTACATAACATTTTTTACATAGCCTTTTATCCCCGAAGGGGCAGGTAGAGGTGCACATTATGCCACTGTACAACGTAACACCCACTTTTCACTATTTATGTAATGAGTCCCATGTAATAGGGGGTGAGCCTATTGCCATATACCGGGCACAATAACTAATAAATATAATGCTTATATTTTGTCCTTAGTACGAAAACTGCGTCCGCAAATTCCGCATGCACCACGACGTGGAATGGTTGACATGGGTCGCGCGAGCACAGACGTTGGCGGGGCGGGCCGGCGCCGCGCGCGCCTCCCTACTGCGAGCGCGACGAGTCGCTCCGCACGACGCCGCGCTAGCATACAACACTGCTCTCACACTACGTCGACGGGCCGCCGCAGTCTTGAAGGACGAGAGATCCGACCTTCGCGTAGTACTTCGCGCAGTTCACGAACTACATGTGTCACATCGTCACTTTGCGCGTCTGGGCGAAGCTGAGGCAGGAGCCGCGGCGGCTCAGGAAGCGAGGACTTGTGCGGACTTACTGTCGCAAGCGCAGTGGCACGTCGCCCGCGCCCGCCGCCAGCACGACGAGGAGCTTTCCCTGCGAGACAAGCAGCGCGAACAAAGGGAGGCTTTCCGCAGGCAACAGGTATTTACTTGGACAATATCTTTACATACATGCATACTCACGCATTTGCAAAGTTCACCTAGCAAAATCGTTACACTATCCTTTATTCAGTCACATACATGACATCTTTTCCGGACAAAACATTTGCATTTCATTCTTGTTTACCGATTTGTACTAGTTAACCGAATTAGCCTCTCTATCGACTTTCTTTAACTCTAAGCTCCGCGACACCTCACCCAGGCGGGAGCAGTCATTCGATGATTTTCCCCCCTTAAAAAAAAAACTCTAAGCTGAAGTGTTATAACAATACTAACCAACTATTTTATGCCTACAGGAAGAAGAACGCAAGCGTCGCGAAGAAGAACAACAGAAGAGTACAGTGGAGATGTTACAGAAGCGACAAGAGTACAAAGAGAAGACGAAGAACGCTCTCTTATTCGCCGACATGCCGACTGAGAACAAGTCGAAAGGTGGTCGCGGAAGGAGAAAGGATGAGTACGTGTCAGACTCACCTGGCAGTGGCAGTGAAGGACCGAGAGAAGACAAGTAAGTGCTTAAATTCATCCGAATATCAACTCTAAATCGGTGATCTTAAAATTGACTTTTCACACAACACTTTTAAACAAATCTTAACTCTAGTTTGATACGATTAAAATTGATTTTCAACTGTAGTGTTACCACGATTTCTCTTAAACATTTTTGTTCTTTTACAGACGTGAGCAGAAACGTAAACGCAAACGTGAAGCGGGCGAGCCCCGCAAGGGAGGTAAACGTAAGAGTAGAAGAAATTCTGGCAGCGATAGTGACCGCGACCCACCCAAGAAACGAGGCAGGAAGAAGGTCAGTTGAAAACTTAATAATTATTCACAGATATAAGTCATACACTTAACTTAATTTCATCTCTAGATTTCTAAATTAGATATATTGTGAAACACAAATTTTCTATCCTCAAATCCATTATCCCTAAAAGGATAGGCCCTGGAAACGGCTGGTGTTGCGGACATCCATAATAAAGTTTTGTTCATTGTTCATACTGAATAATATGAAAGGAAAGTTTTAACTATTCTATCTCATACATAATACTAAATCATCCACTACTTATACACAGGGTGAAAAAGGCATCGGCAAACGTGAGAAGGCCAGAGCAGCGAAAGAAGCCGATAAACTGGGCGCGAAACAACGCGCGAAAATCGTTTCTAAAGAAACGATATCGACTTCCGAGTCGGAGTCGGACACTTCTCGCAAGTCCCGGAGTAGAAGTCGCAGCGGCAGTGGAAGTCGGAGCGGTGGAAGTCGCAGCCCTCCAGCCAATAAAGGAAGAAAACGGATTATGTCTGCGTCGGATAGCGACAGGTAATTTATTTTTAAAGATTTTATTTATTTAGGTTTTTTTTTTCAAACTGACCCAATGTTGGGTTAGAATAGTTGACTTAAGAATTGAATATTATTTCTGACTTACATATGAAATTATGAGTATTTAATTATGTGTGTAACATTTAGTAAACTGATAACTGATGTTTGAAAATGACTATGCGGATGGTTTATATCAACCGCAGGCAAAGCTAGTTATTTATTTGAAATTTAAGTACATAATTATTTTTGAAATTAAAATCAAGTTGACATTAGCTTCAAAAAAATAGACTTCATTTTAAAATAAGTTTAAACGCTTACTCTAATCTTAAAATCAAGGATATCTTTGCGAGTGCGACTTACCAAGATTTAAGTCTAAATAGCGAATTTTTTTAGATCAAGGTCCAAGTCAAAATCTCGCAGTCGATCAAGGTCGGGATCCGCCAAAAGTCGTTCGAGGTCCAAAAGTAAATCACGTTCTAAAAGCCGTTCCAGATCTAAAGGCAGATCTAGGTAAGCGACGTCCGGGGTTTTAATTCATTAATTAGCATTTAATTATTTTTTGTTACCATAGTAACAAAGAATATAGTTGTAAGTTCTTATTTTACTTGATATATTCTAGGTCTAAAAGCGCATCCAGGTCTAAGAGCCGGTCAAGATCCAAAAGTAGGTCTCGTTCAAAGAGCCGTTCCAAGTCTAAAAGCGTTTCTAGGTCTAGATCAAGGTATAAACATTTGTTTTGTGTTATCGTCATAAACATTGCCATTTTTGCTAATTTACAAATTATTATTAATAGATAATAATTAATTATCATATTTAAGTGTGTGATTGCTTTTTAAATAAGTAAGATTTAATTTACTTTTTTGGAGCTTATAAGAAGTTTGGTATTTAGGTTAAATGCAATTATTTGTTTACATTCTCAATGTGCTTATAATTTATAAAAGTAGAGCATTTTTTTCTTAAAAAATTCAATACTCTGTTGTACGTCAAACAACCTCTAACATTTATTATTGTTTCGCAGGTCAAAGAGCAGATCCCGTTCAAAATCGAAGAGCGTATCGAGGTCGAGATCCCGTTCAAGATCAAAGAGTGGATCCCGAAGCAGGTCTGGCTCCCGAGCTGGGTCCCGCGCATCCAGGTCTAGGTCACGATCTGGATCGAGGTCAAGATCAGGATCCAGAAATTCCCGACCAGACACACCAGTATCAAGGAAATCTGTCTCCGCAAGTGAAGATGAAGCTTAGGTTAAGTTGTAAATATTTTACTAGTTTTAGGGTTTTGTCTTTAGTTTTCTTTACCTGCAAGGTAAACTTATTTTTCAGTTATCTGTAAGTATATGTATGTACAAATGATGTACTTTCGTTGTTCTAGAGCTATTGGACAGTTTTTAGAAGTGACGCTTGATTTATTAGGAATGAGAGTTAAAATGGCTAAGTCGGTATGGTTCATATCAGATTAATGAATAGTCAATTGAAGGAGATTTGTTTAGTGATTGGCACTCGCATTTGGGTTGTTTACAGTTTGGAACTCACTATGCACGTTAACTAAGTTCCATAGGTCACTAAGGGACCATCAACAAGCAATAATTTTAATGTGCAAACTGATTGTGCTAAATTTTGTACAAACATTTTGCGCAACGCAAACATTGTACAGTATATTTTGTACGACATTTATTTACCATACGCTAGTTACAGTTTAGCCACACCTTACTTGCGCAAAGCGTACTATTATGTAAATAATTTGCGCAAAGTAGATTGGTATTTGCGCAATACTGATTCAATAAGTGCAGTTACATTATATCGTTGTTCACGTTCAACTTTAAATATCAATACATTAAAAGGGTTGGATTTTTTAACGGCACATGTATGTCTCGAGTGAGCAAATTCAAACTTGTGTTTTTAAAAAGATATAATATTTACATAGCTTCCTGTCGAATGATATTTACACTACTTAGATAAATATTTTATACAATTACCGAACTTCCTAACCTAATCTTCCAATGTAATGAAATGGACTAATGTTTAAAAATGCTAGTTTAAATCTTTGTTAGCGCAGAACATCCGATTATTATTTCTAAAATAAAAATAATTGTAAAACATGTTGTCTTTAATTTCAACCAATTGAAGTGATATAATATTATTCACGACATTTTATCTTATTGACATTTTCAAAAGTTACGATATCTTTTATAGTGGACCGTTTATAGTATAAATGGTCATTCATTGACATAAGAAAATTAATTACAATTGCTTTTGCGTGAAACCTAAAATTTGTGGGCTACCAAATGTATTTCAAGTTTTATAGTGTTGTACTAAAGTGGCTTTTATCACTTCAAATAAAAAGTGCTTGATTTATCATAGCCGTATGTTTGATTTATAGATAAAAAAGATTTTTGCATGTGATCATTAAATTATTCCGAGGTTCTGCGCTAAAAACTTCATCTTTCTTTTACTCTTAGACTATTTCTAGACTTCAAGTTATTATAGCTGTGTTCTTCTCAAATCTTGTACCTATTATGTTCTGATATTTTAAAGAACGATGATTGTAAACGAATAAAAAATATAAAATGTCACTCATGTGTTTTTCTCACAATTCCTTCGTCCGTCCGTATTATGATTATAAGGGAGATGAGAATCAAATAAACAACAATAACCTAGTTATGTAAACATTTATGACGCTAGTCATAGATAATCACCAACCTTAAAAAATAGACTTAAGGGTCAACTTATCGGGTCTGCGGACGGCGAGCAATAGTAGCTCGCCGCCCAGCCAGAACCAGAAATGCGTACGGCGCGTCGCATTCCGTGCCTCAGAGGGCCATCAGACCATCACAGATGGCGCCCAGAAGGTCTATTGCCCGATACGGAGCCGTGGAAGGCCTAACGGGTTGCCGGGGCTTCGGCTCGAAGTGCAGGAGTAGGAACAGTGCGGTTTATAGTCAGTAAGAGTCCGACACCCCCTCACGCCTAACCCAAGACGGGAGAAGTTAAAAGTGGGTCAATTTATGGTAGCGCGTAGTCGACGCGCAACGAAGCATCTTTCCAAATCTGAACATAATGAATTCCGAAGAATACGCTCGACCTTTATAATCTCAGAAGTTAAATGTGCGTTACACTGTGGAGTTAAGGTTGAATTTGTTATGTTCAGTTTTGGAAAGACGCTTTGATGCGCCTCAACTCTGCCCTAGAGTAAATTCACCCTTAAATCTAGTTTTTGAGGTTCCTGATCATCTATAAATCAGGGAAAAAAAGAAATACAACAATATCATGAAAACATTGTATATTTAAGTCCCAATTTAGAAGTACATATTAGTATATTTAAATTATTCGCATTTAACATTCGAGAAAATCAATTTTTATACATAGTTTAGTTATATTGTGTTTAGCGTTTAAATAACTTGCAACAATTTAATAAATAGCTTAAATATATTACATTTAACATAACACAACCATCATATTGGTGAAATAACCTTTCTTTAGAAACTCTTATAAAATAATAATATCAATACTATACAAGTTGTAAGGAGTTGAGACACTGAAAAGATTGATCAATGATAATATTTTGCACAAAATTACAATGGTTGTAGTCCATTGACAACTTAGATTCAAATCAACTCCACGTGTTAACCTCAATACTTTTATTTAGGAAGTAGTTGTTGGGCATATGCTATTATGTAGTTTTACAATCAATCTTTTCAGTTTCAAAACTAATTCTAAAAGAACGATTAGTCAATTCCAATGACAATCCCAATGTACTGATAGATTTATCTAAATAATGGACTAAATTGTCACTATTAGAAATATTAATACTTACTCTTAATAATTGAGCGTTATAACGATACTAGAATTTGAGATAAAAATAATATCAACAATGAAATATATTTTGCTAATAAATACATACTTAATATCGGAACGGAATTCGTTTAACAATTTACAATTGGGATAATCTCAATGATAAATCGTCATAAGTCGCTAATACTCTGGCTTTATAATAATAACATTTATTTTTAAAACAATAAAGCTCAATCAGGAGTCATATTCTTATACAAAAATGAATGTTGGACTTGTGGCAATCTAACGAACTATCATACTCGTAATTCCGCGTTCAGCCTTCGCTAAATTTAAATTTTCTAAAACTTACAAAACTCGATAGGTACAATATCTCACAATTTATAGAAACTAGATTCCAAAATTTTATATAAAGATTACTATTATTTTAATATTGAGGATATAAATTTGAGTCAAAATTCGAACAGGTGGCAGTTATCGTTACCTTCATTCAAATCGAGATAAATTGGTTATTGCTAGGTATATTCAAATGGAGCATAATATAGATAATATAAATTACTAAGACTATTTTACTTTAATGTGCGCTAATATATTAGACTATACTATCAATGACTAGTAAATCTAGGTAGTTGGTGTTACTATAGCTAATATTCGGTGAGGTTAAATATTTATTTGATGATTACATTTTTTAAATATTCTATCCAATCTTCCAGTCCAATCATTAGCTCTTAAAATTATATTTTTTTTCTTTCAGTATGCTGTAGTAAGTATCACTCGCTTGAATAATCTTTATCTGCTTTGTATCTATGGCTACTATATTTATTTTGTTTTTTTAGTGAACTTTCGTGGATTGTGGAGAGGTAAGGTTCAATTTTAATTTTAATAATGTTTACGACATTTTGAGCTAAATTTTTGCTAGTAGCTTAATCGAAAACAATCATTATGTCGATTATTAAACAAGAATTCTTGCAAGCCACATAGCATCCAGAATGTGTATGGATCGTTCTAGCCCTTATATCCCCAAGCGGTCACGACCGATCTTCACTAACTACATTATAGACCTTATTTCCAATGTTTAGATACTACTTTTGTATGAACAAATTTAGGGGATGATTTTTAACAATTTTCAACGGGCTAGAAGTTAGTTATATGTATTCAGCCATCTTTATGATATCAAAAAAAGGCGGACAGTCTTATGCCTAAATGAGAATGACTAGTACGATGACAGTGTAACCTTAGCACAATATTTAGACCTTACAAAAGTATTATAATACTTGGTGTGACATTTAATGCTAACATTTATGATTTATTAATGAAAAGATATTTGATAAAATGTGTAAACCATACTTACAAGTTCACTGTCAAAAACTCTTATTATTTGTAAATAGGTAAAAATAAGCATTCTGCACAAAGAGTATATTATTATTATGGGCAGAAGGTACAAATATTTTTAATTATTCAATTTCGTAAATATTTTCCTAGTTTAGAGCATAGCTGGAGATTACCTTCACAAAAATTATATTTATTTTATCTGAGAAAAATATTATGTTTCGTTTTAAGATGGATTTTTGTGCATGATTTTTTAAGCTCGGAAATATAACGTTTATTAGTATTATAATGAAAAACTTAATAATAAACAATATTTTTGATTTGTTTCTACACTTTAATTTTTTTTCTTTCATAGACAATTAATTTTCATTTCTTTTTTAGTTAATGGCATACTGTCTCCAGCCTACAATTCTAAGTTTACTACGACATAAACTTACATTAACAGGCCTCCTTTGAGTTCTGAGCGCCGTTGGTCTGTGCGAAGGTAACGGTGCCGTTAGGAACTGTTTGTGGGCCTCCTAGGAATGAAGTGAATGTCGTGTCTCTGCTCATTGGTGGCTCCAAACCTTCTATAGGTATACAGTCCAGGGTAGGAACTGTGTATTCCCTGTAAAAGAAATATTATAGAAATAGAATCTACCGTTTATTTTTCTAAATCATAGAGAGGTTGCAAGTGCGGGTGGGCATTTGGTTGGGCGTAATATTATCGAATTTAACATATTCTGAGTAGAAGTAAATATATTTCTGGAATGATACCGAACATATGGCCATCATCTTATATTCTAGTACAAAGGTATACTAACATAACTGGCAAAAGGTAGGGGAATAGGTGGTATGTTGATTAATGTTTTATTGTAAAGACCAAATTCACAAATAAACATATTACAGGTTACAAAACCCAGACGTTGGCGAAAGGAAGATGTAATGAAGATAAACTTAATTAAATTAATGATGACAATACAATAATAAAAAACTTACATAGATACATTGTCCTGTGACTGTACTGAGTCGTTGACTAGTTGAGGCAGTCTGTCCGGCTGGGGCGGCGGCTGCCGCGTCGGTCGAGAGCTGAAGAGGAAGACTCCAACCATCGCCAGCATGTATGATAAGAAATAGAGAGCATGGAACTGAAATGTAACGGTCATAAGACTTGATAAATGTATACAATAATTTTACTTATTGGTGTTTAAAATAAATGTCTAAATATTGTTTGAGTTGTTTTTTTTGTGTTTATCGCCCTTTGTAGGACTTTGACTTTGACGTCACTGATATGTATTGCCAAGGCAATGTCAGAGTTTTAAGTGTTATTTCCAACAACTCAAATGCGAAACAGCGTCGGCAAAAGTATTTTTTAAAAACAACAATCAAGATGGAGTAAAGGATCCATAATTTGTTTTTATAATAACTATCGTGAGACATACTAAATTAACTAAAATCACTGAGTGCGCTGAACGATGTCACCGCGACCGCGTACGCTGCTCATGAGGAAGAACCTCTCTGTGGTTCGAAACTAGTAGAGCTTTTCTCAGTATATTCACGTGAGTAACCAGTGATTTTAGTTGATACCTAATTTCTTATGCTGATTTGCATGTGTGCTGCATGTACTGTACGTAAATGTACGCATGTAGTCAGCGTGGTCGCGAGCATTCGCCAGACACGAACGCACTGCAATTTTGTTTATCGCAAATTTTAAATATGTATAGACAAAAGAAACTCACCTTAAATTGGAATATGTACACAAAGCACCGCTAATTAGTTGCAGCGCTACACATCGACACAACTGTCATTTACACAGTGTACATGTGTGCGTAATTTCATATAACTGTATATAAAAATATTCGTCCACCACGTTCACATTGGTATTTTCATTCTTGTGTCGGTATACGTATTTTTATAATTTAATGCATAGGTAAGGTTAAAACTATTTACAATCATTGATATGACCCGACATTTTCACTGTCATTATCGTAGTGCTCGTGGTCGATTGGTTAATGAGCACGCTTTTATCGTCTTTCAAGGATCAATGATGTGGGTTCTATTCCAGCTAAAAGTTAATTTTATTTTACCTTGTTATTTTTCTTATTTTTTTTTTTTGTTTTTTGTCATAAAATATAAATATCAGGCTATAAAAGAAGCAAATGAGTTGGTAAATAAAACAATACTATTTTTTATTACAATTAATTTATTTATTATACAAATATGTTGTTTTATATTCAATATTTATATCTAATAATTAATTATATACCACATGTTAAGTTTAAAGTTCTTTAAATCATAATTAATAGATATGACAATAAACCTCATAGTCGAATCGGGAAATATCATGCGGTACAGCGGTAATACGATGGCAGCAACATTTTTTATTAAGTAGGTAATAAACAAATATACAACATTCTTGTTTTGTAATTTAATAATATAATGTATTATTAAATTACAGTTTTACAGTAATAAACAAGTAAAACATGTAAAAAATTACACTGTCAACATAATATTTCTTGAAATGGGCGACTTTTTGTCGTTTGAACTTCCATTAATTATCTATTTTACGACGGTTGTTATAAGGTTCAATATTCAGTGGGCTGTATGATAGTAAAAAGAATGTGACGAATGCTATGGAACGATTTTAACTTTCATGACCTTTAGAATCAGGGAAACTTTAAATTAATTGAAGATGGGCGTAAATATAATATGTCAATCAAGTTCGAAAGCAGTTAAATAAATTTGTTAATGAAAAATTAAAGTGAAGTGAATAAACATGTTGAATAGAAAGAAATTATGACAATTTCTAACCACAAAACAATAACATCACTTCACCGTATGTTCTAGACAGCATTTTAATATTCTTAAAAAAATTAAACATTATTTTATGTTAATTTTAATAAAGGCAGAGTTTGACAGGCTCAATAATTGATTCCGAAATCAATACAATCACTGATCCTACAAGGCAGAAGGTTGCAATTCGTATACCTTTCTCCATCTTTTCTTCACAATATTTTACGCCCATCCTTATCCGACTTGAAAGTCTTTTCGTCGCTCAATATGATTACACTGTTCGCCCAATCAAAATTAATAAAGTCCTTAGCAAATTCTTAGCGCTTTTGCTGGTGAACCACAGATAACAATATTTTCTTCTCTGGCTTCCTGCACCTTAAACCAGAATGCAGGTGTCTCCGTACAGTTTGTATTAAAACATTCAGTGCTGTCGCTGTAGTGCGGGTTGGCAGGAACGGATCAGCCATGTGCCTGGCTACGATGTCGTAGTGCCGAGCCGATGAATTTGCCTTTGGTTTAGGCCCACGTCGACGATGTTTAACGTCACCGGTCTCCGCATATCTGTGCACCCATAACTGCATGGATCTCCTCTGTTGATACCAAACAAATAAGTATTTAAAATACCAGGAAATACTTTACAGGAATTAAAGTTACTTAAAAATAATAATAAATATAAGTAAACACAATGTTAGAATAATAATTTATAATTAAGTAGTGGCGTAAGGAATAAAAATCCCTAACCAGATATGTTTTAAAGAAACACTCCTAACAAAAACAAGTCAAGTTACAATACAATTAATAATAAATTATTAATATATCTTTATAATATTGAACTTCATAATAAGTTGCAATAATTATTTTATTCTAGTGCAAAAATTGATAGGTGTGTCGAGTTACAAAATGAAATAAATATTATTTAGAATATCAACGTAGTATCTTATTTACTCACCGATATCATTAAACGCCTTGCTATTTCAGTTATTGTTAGTTATGTTTTGCTCATGCAAAACAATGGTTTCAGCCTTTTTAAATGTTGATAGGTGTTGGAACATCTTGTAAAAATAAAAATAACTTTGCACACGAATATAAGTAGTGTAGCAATAAACTATGAAATCCTCATAAATTGACAACTAAGAACGCAATTATTTTGTAAGTCGGGTGATTTGAAAAACATGTTTTAAATAGTCGGTAGTTACTTCATAAGCGTGTAAAATAAAATGACTCGAGATTTCTATGGTCGCCACAAACATTGCAAATATACTCAGGTATCGAACCATTAAGAAATCACAGTTAATTACTTTTTTACTGTTTTTATCTTATTTAAGTTGGTTGAAATGCATGAAGCAAATGAGATTATTCTAAATAATAAATAACTAGAACTAAAATATAAATAAAAGATATTATAGGTATAAATAAATCTAAAGTATTTACTATTAAAATTAACATAAGATTTAGAACAATAGGAAAGGAAAAAAAAGAAAAGATTTAATTGTTTCTAATTTCAAATTTCAAATATTTGATAAATTAATTCTAAAACAACATGTGAATGTTGGAATCGATCCGGCGGCACTTTACTTGACAATTGGAGGCGATAACCATTGCGCCAAGCGCGCTGTAGATGAGATCATCGAAATATTTTATATCATTCAGTAACATAAAATTACAATGAGAAAGCACTATATTTATATGGGTATTGTATAGCTCGATCGTTCATTATTTTTGATTTCGATTTATTCAAAGTTTGTTATGAGTAATTTTATCTTTACCCTCGTTTTTATTTAAACTTATTTACTAAATTATTGCGTCTACCGACACAAAAATGATTTTTAAATACCAAGATGTGTGTGATAGACGAATGTTTCTATACATATCTATTGATATGAAATTACCCACACATGTATATTGTGTAAATGATAGTTGTGTCGATGTGTAGCGCCGCTAACTAATTAGCGGTGCTTTGTGTACATCCCAGCTATGAGAGTATAGTAATCCGCAGACAAGAATGACAAGTGCAGTATAATGGAACCAGCATCTCTTAGCATAAAGCACTGTAATATCTGGAATATTGTCTGCACGGAGCAATAACTGCTAAGTTGAACTATAGTGTCCAAATCATACCAGTTAAATTCCATTAATTCTCCAAATTCTAGGAAAAATGTTTGGGTACAGGATACTATACTGCCTATGAGGCCTAGGAATGCTAGGTAGTCCGAGCAAGATAGAGTGTCTAGCATCATTTCTTGTAGTACTGTGACCATGGAGTAGAGGAGTGACCCTGCCAAGCAAAGCATGTCACCAACTAGCTGGTTTTTACCTGGAAAAAAGAAAAAGGTTTTATTTCTAGAAATACTAAATGAAAAATGAACTTAACCCTTTGAGTACCGTCATTATAGACACAATTAAAGAACAATAGGTTGCGGTCACCGGTGTCCTCGCGGTATTTCACAGTTCAATTTGAAAAGGTATAATACTAGTGATATGGGAATATTTTGTGGCTATGTTGGTCACAAAATCTTTTCCTTAACTTGAAGGGTTTGGGTTTAATTCCCAGGTCCATGCTCACTAAGGTTAAGTTTAATAGAACTAAGAACAACAGGTGATGATGTAATAAAACAATAATGATTAACAATAGAAAATATAAACACACCATCAGTAGGAGCTCCTTCCACATCAGCCCAGACAACACAGACTACAGCCATGAGACCCATAGTGGCACCTGCTACATGGACTACTCCAAGTCTCTGTCCACGCCACGCTCCTCCAACTAACGCAGCCCCCACTCCGCTGCAGGCCAGCAGCTGTCAGCTGAGTACTGATGTGAAGCGCTGTGACATTACCAACAACCAACTTGCTGTCACATCCAGGGTACAGGCTATTATTACCACCCACCATTTTCTGGAAATTATAAACAAAATAATACTTAACTTAAATGCTGTTTCACAAATGTGTCCAAAACATTGCTACTTTAGTTTTGTAGTGTTTTAGGTTTCATAAAAAGCCTTTTAGTTTTTTTTTTACCAGATTACCACCAACATCAAGCTGATGATAATAGAATGTTGGTGAACACTTTCAGCATTATTATTCAAAAATAAATTTTTAATTGACACTGTAAGTACTAGGATAAATAATAAACAGCAGTGTCAGGAGTAAACACTGGAACCACAACAAAGAAAGATCAACTTACTTGGATAAGCTCTTCAAACCATTACAGAGTAGGGATGGAGTGAACAATATAAACAGTGCTAGGTACGGGACGACGAGCTGCCCAGTCGTGGGAAACTGCCAAGTAGCACTTTGCAGTAGAGTGGTCAATATACATTTTCCACTCAGCAACAATGACAGAACTTGCCCCAAAAGAATGCTACGCCACACCCTCCTGGAAATGGGTTACAAAAATATTACACCTTTGTTTATAAAACCAGCAGTACCTAAATAATTACATCAAAGAATACTAGCCATCGCCCGAGCTCCGAAAGGTACTCTTCTATTTTATCACTAAAAGTGGGGTCTTCCATTATCTTCTCTAATTTTGATCGTATTTTTAAGTAAATACTGTAATGTTTAGGATATAATCCTCAAGAATAATCAAATTATCCCAATAAATAGCCATAATTTTCTTCGCACGGGCTGAAAGGCAAAACAAAATCTGACAATTGAATTTTTCGTTTAGAAAAGCTACATACCCCATAGATATATGTTCTCAATCATACAACGTTTTTATTGAAAAGTTTACGTTAAGAAAACAAGAATTTAAATCGAAATAAAATAAAAAAAACCTTTAAGTTCTCAAAACATTATTGTTGTTAATTGTTATTATTTAATTTTCAACGATTTAAAGAATGAAACGGCTGTATCGATTTTTGAACGCAGAGCTTGTAAAAAAACAATACGTCAAACGTCAAACAAACAAATGTCAATGCGTTAATGTCATTTAAAACGCGCTCTTCGGTGTTTAGCGAAATTATTTGTTTATTTGGTTATTATCTATAAAATATTGCATGAAACTTAATAATTCACCACATAAACTTATTAATCGTCTAACTATATCCGACATTCAATATGGGAGACGGTAAGTTGAGTTAAAACATCGGTTATAAAATGTTTGTGATTGTTCGTGTTCATTAACATTTTCCCTTATTTCCACAGAGGATGTTATTCGTAGAAGACTCTTAATAGACGGAGATGGAACAGGAGACGATAGAAGACTGAACGTGCTGTTAAAAACATTGATAAAATGGTGTAACAGCACTGATGACAAACCTGAAGAAAGGTTAGAATTTGATAAACAATATGATTGAATTATGAATAATAACACGCTACGCTACGCTAAACTAAATAAATCTTATTTCTTAATTTCAGCAAAGCAACACACGACCGAATGCTAGCCCAGTTAGCGCAATGTGAATTTGCAGTAACAAAATCACAACTAGGCTCAGAAATGATGTCGGCCGAGTTACAAAGCTACGAAGCAATGTCGAAAGTTCTAGAGAAGTCAATAGAAGTAGCCAAAAGTCACATAGAAAAGAGTAAAGCTGACCTGGCTCAAGCAAAGACAGTTCGCAAAAATCGCATAGAGTATGACGTGCTGGCAAAGGTTATCAGCGAACAGCCAGACAGGAAGGAGACTTTAGAGCGCCTCGGCACTTTGAAAACAGAACTGGCCAATTTGGAGTCCACAAAACAGCAGTTGGAAAGCCGTTTAGCTTTAAGAAAAAAACAGTTTCATGTCTTGGTTACTTCTATACATCAACTGCAAGCATTGCTGGATGAACCTGATGATACAGAGTCTGTGTCTGATGACATTGAAATGAAGGACATTTTGAATGAACCCTAGTGTTAGTTTTTAAGTGTAGTCTAACTCTACTATCTTGAACGAAACAGATTTATATCTATAAAAATCCCTGAATTATGCATTGTCATCAAAAATTCACTGCTGCATTAGAATCACGGGCCTCCTTTACATAAACCATTATCTCCTTGCTTTGCAGGCAGTTTGGAGATCATGGGTTCAGGTTCATCAGTGTTGCTGACCAGTTTGTCAAATGTCGATAGTCAGTACAGTTAGTCATATACAATGACTAGGATGTCTCTTATAAAATCTGCCAGGAGAATACATGTGTTCTATTCTCTCATTGCCACAGTTTATGCATCCCCTGATTTGTTAATGATGAAATTAAATAAAATTTACCATGATAAACTTTAAAATTAATTGAGAGACACCAGATATTTATATAATAGGGTAGATGACTACTTTTCATTTCTATGTCCGCCTGCTAGATTATTTTGAAACATTAGACACATATTTTTTATTTATTTTTATTTATTTATTTACACTTTTTGTATATATACAATGGCAGACTTAATGCCTAGTGGCATTCTCTAACAGTCAACCTTAGGGTGATGCAGAGAGACACAATAGTAGGTGTAAACGTTTAACACTTATTAGAATGATACAATAATTAACATTACATATGATTAACATTAACATTAAAATTAACATCATATATAATTATACATATCATACAATATATACTTAAAAACAAATACTTTCAACATGTCTTTTGAAATGTTTGCTTTGAAATGTTGCATGTAGTCGCTTCTATGTACATTTTATATGTAGAAATGACGTTCTAAAGTTTGATTCATTTTATCTAAATATTATTTCTATTTAACTCGTCGAGTACCGGTTTTATAGACACAATTAAAGAACAATAGGTTGCGGTCACTGGTGACCGCTTGGTGCTTGACAGTTTAATATACGACAAAATAAAAAATATATATGTGTCTAATATTTTTTAATTTTATTATCTGACTGACAGACTATCGATTTTTAAATTTCATACCCTGCCATAATACCTATTGCTCAGTCTCATCATGTCGAGTCCATGTTGGTCCAAATGCGTTTCTGCGTGTATAGTTGAGTTATTCTTTGTTAGATTAAGTAAGGAAGATTATTTTCTATTGACTTGTAATAAAATGTATCATCATATATTGTGATGGTGTTCTAATAATAATTTTGTTTTACTTTGTATTGGTTCCTAATATTGGTATTACATACATATTTCTTTTTTTATATATTATATTTGATGGGTTGACGGGTGGCCACTATCTCGCCTGGTGGTAAGCGGCGATGCGGCTTACGATGGAGTACGATCTGTGGTCAACAGCAGACAAAATTATTTATGTTTTACCTGCTCATTACTGACCAGTTAGTTTATTATTAACTAGCTTTTACCCGCGGCTTCGCTCGCGTCACAAAAGAATAAAAAGTAGCCTATGTGACATATACCAATACACACAGCGCCATCTATACCAATACTTTTGTTTTTCCTCGGGAATATCAATTTTTTCCTTGTTAAAAAGTACCCTATTATTTAATCCGGACTTCTAACTTTACGTTTGCAAAAATTCAAAGCAATCGGTTGAGTGGTTACTGCGCAAAGGTGGAACAAACAAACAAACTCACTTTCAGATTTATAATATTAGTAAGGATAAGGATAAGGATGTACTTATAACATATCTACATTGTCTACACAATAATCTGACACGACAATAGTAAAGAGCGTATTTTATTTTTTCAAAGCGTATGTTAAAAAAGAACGTCTTCTGTATTAAAATATTAAAGTCAAATATAGTACGGTACAATATTTACCATGCAAAACAGTATCTATAGTAATAAAATATGAAATTGATACAAAATGTGTTATTCTAAAAGAGTGATTCCAAGAATAACACAGTTTATTTTAGAAAGTGCTGATAGTTAATTCAATACTGTACCCACCCATTAATGTTTTAGTACCCTTTACCTTGAGTCACAAACAAAATGTCTAGTTTTTACACTGTGTACACACGGCTACACATCGAGCTTCTCATAACCAGTATAAACTGAACGTTAAATGTGCGGAAAGATGATGCGACGCGATACCAGGATAAACTGGTTTTGTATAGATTGATGTGTGGCCGTGTGTACATACAAATGGTATGTTTTTCATTTTACTAACCAAGTAATGACTGGCCATGTCGCCTATAGTGACTATCATGGGAATAACCGAGGTCGTATCAATTTTTTTTTCAGTGTTGTCTAGCCATATGAGCTTAGTAGTTAAGTATTTATTAATTTATAATTATTTATTCTTTTCCAAGTTCAAAGCCGTGTTTTGGTTTTTTTTTGCATTTGAGAACGAATATTTGAAAGTTACTGATTAAATCTTCTTGCCTGTCGCGGAGAACCTAACGGGTAACCGGGGCTCCGGCTCGACGTGCAGGAGAAGGAACGGGGTGGTTTTTAGTCAGTAAGAGTCTGACACTCCCTTCCGCCTCACCCAGGCGGGAGCAGTCATTCGATGATTTTCCCCCCTTAAAAAAAAAAAAAACCTGTGGGTTTGGTAGGTACCTATTACAAGCATTTTTTTTTAAATCGTTGCCAGGGTGGGGCGGGATAGATGAGAAAAGCTCTACTAGACTTTACTACTACTACTTTCACCACAGAGGGTCGCGGTGATGTCGCGTAGCCTACTGACATCGCCGCGACCGCGCAAGCTGCTCATGAGGAAGAGCCCCTCTGTGGCTCGAAACTAGTTGAGCTTTTCTCAGTATATACACGTGAGTAATCCTGTAATCCATGATTTTTAGTTAATTTAGTATGTCTCATAAAAACATTTTTTTATATTTACCTACCTATGTAGATTCGTAAACATGACCGTTCCGCAAACTTAGAAGACTGAATTTACTTAAAAAAATACATACTTACACTAAACTCCACAACAGTACCAGTAGGTACATTGTCAAAAAACTAAGATGAACCGATAGAAGTGAGGTTACCGGAGGCCCAATCCCTGAAAATCCCTGAATACCCGACAATCCTCAAACTCCTAATCCCCAAAAAGCCGGTAACGCACTTGTAACGCCTCTGGTGTTCCAGGTGTCCATGGGCGACGCCGATTGCTTACCATCAGGTGATCCGTCTGCCAGTTTACCGGCTTATGCCATAAAAAAAATGAACGCTCAAATCTACGTTGCGACTTACATAAAGTCAGAAAACAAATTTTTAATCTCGAAATGGGCCCTCAAATTACGGCCGAGAAAAAAAGACTTGTACCTAATAACTAAACTCCAACTAAACTAGCTCTTTCTCAACTACTCCAGATTTTGTCATGAAGTTGTGGAGGAAAGAGGTGCAGGACAGTCAACGCTAGCCTCCTTTACATAAAAGAGTTTGCCACAATCTGCACGCTTGATGTGCTGGTTATACCTAAATAAGTAGCTTTTACCCGCGGCTTCGCTCGCGTCACAAAAGGATAAAAATTAGCCTATGCGACATGTACCAATACACACAGCGCCATCTATACCAATACTTTTGTTTTCCCTCGGGAATATCAAATTTTTCCGGGATAAAAAGATACCTTTTTACTTAATCCAGACTTCTAACTTTACGTCTGCAAAAATTCAAAGCAATCGGTTTAGTAGTTACGGCTTAAAAGCGGAACAAACAAACAAACAAACTCACTTTCCAATTTATAATATTAGTAAGGATAGTCCAGGTTAATCAGAGAACGTCAATGTCATATGAGGATGCGTAGTCTCTTGACGTTTTGGTTTTGGTCACCTCTTACGACACTGACGAAAATAGTAAGTTGTTTAGTCGTCACACCATACGGCGGTGACTGCCGAGACGTAGATAAGACCCATGCATGCATAAAAGTTTAGCTACAGGTCGTCGTTTGCGTGTTCACTTGTTTGTTTGCGTGTTGAAGCTAAAATACTTTGATTAACTATACATACCTCCTTCGTGTATCTACCTACCTAGGCTATAGATACGTACCTACCTATCTATAATTTTACATGCAAGATAAGGTTCTTAATTATTTTCTTTCTAGTCAGCACCTTTCAGTTTTTTATTGGTTATAGGAGAAATGAGTCGATCTAATGTTCTACTTAATCATCAAAATCAGACAATTTGTAACTTCTTTCTTAGGGACTGCGGTAAACACAACACGGTAGGTACACAAATTCAGATAAGCACCAATAACCAACCCAATATAAACGTTAGTTAATTATGAACACTTTTACGTGTAAATCGCCAAACAACTGAAATCTTGAAATGGGCGTTACATTGTAAAGAAGAAAAGAAAGAAAGAAAAACCATTTATTTTTGCGCAGAACATACATAACATAATTAAAAATAATATTAAAATAATTGTAGGTACCTAAATGTAGGTAGGTACCTGCCTATCTGCCTGTTCGTGAATTAAAAGTCAAGGGAGGTTTAATTTTTTTAATTTCTCTGTTTGTATTGTGATGTGAGCTCATCTCAACCCACCTCTTTGGGCGAGTTCACTGTTATTGTATACCACCAAGTACAATAAGGTTTTTCTTATCATTAATTCAACAATTTGTTGCGTTGCGTGTCTACCTACTGTCTAGTTTGGAATCCACATATGAATTCCCTAATTTATCCATCAGAATGTACCATCGAAAAGTCAATAAGAATGAATTAATTAATCATCCACCTGCGGAACGTACTATCGGCAAGAAAATAGTAACTGTAATGTAGAAAACATAGTTATTGTGGTGTATTAGTACTTGATATCTGCAAGATATTTTAAAAGGTCATTTATTTTCGCGGCATCTAATAAATAATCTTAGATAAGTAGGTACTTTAATTATCATAAGCCATAGTATTCTTTTAACTAACTTTACTTACTAGTACTTAAGTAGTGTTTTAATTGTTTTCTTTAGGTGATCATCAGCAGGATATTTACTTATGTAGATTCGTAAAACCGTTTTGCAGACTTAGAAGACTTAATTTACTTTAAAAATACAAACGTAAACTTAACTCTGCGACAGTACCAGTAGGTACATTGTCAAAAAACTAAGTTGAACGCGCAAGTCTACGTAGAGACTTACATAAAGGCAGAACTCGTCACTTCGTTTGAGCGGCCCTGTCGAACGCACGCGGCTGACTCGCACCGCCCGCGGTCCAACTAAACACGTTTCATCAAAGAAAA